CAGTTTTCAATGTCAATGATCTCCTATCTCTTTAACTCTGTCATTCAACAAACATTTGTTGAACAAATAATATCATTTACCTCACTCCTTCTATTCTGGATTCTACTATTCTGGATTCAATGAGACAGAATTTCTTTCTAATCACATGTTTCTTTTATGAACCCTTTCTCACACTTAATGTCAGTGATGATTATAAAGAGTAAAATCAGGATTGGCGGAACAACCTGCAATGTGCAGATGACATAACCAGGCTTGCTGAAAGTGAAGAGAACTTGAAGCATTTACTGATAAGATCAAAGACTGCAGCCTTCACCAGAGATTACACTTCAACATAGAGAAAACCACAATCATCACAACTGGGCCAACTGCAACACTGTGATAAATGAAGAAAAGATTAAAACTGTAAAAAATTCTATTTTATTTGGATCCACAATCAATGCTCATGGAAGCAGAAATCAAGAAAACAAACAACATATTGAATGGGGCAACTCTAGCAAAAGACCTCTTAAAAATGCTAAAAAGCAGAGATAGCACCTTGAAGACTGCAGTGCAGCTAACTCAAGACATGGTATCTTCACCTGCCTCATGGGAATAGGAAGGCTGGACAACAAATGAAGAGGATAAAGAAAACAAATGCATTTGGATTACAGTAATAATGAGGAATACTGAATACCCCATGAATTGTTCAAAGAATGAACAAACCTGCCTTGTAATAAATGCAGCCATGATCCGTAACAGTACGGATGACATACTTCATCTCATGTACTTTGCATCCAGACAGACCAGCCCCTGGAGAAAGGCATCATATTTGGTAGAGGCTAACATTGACACAATGGCTGAAAATGGGCTAAAACCTAACAACGATTGTGAGAATGGTGTAGGACCAGATACTGTTTCATTCTGCTGTGCACAGGGTCACTGTGTTGGACTCAATCTGACAGAACCTATTAACAAGGGATTATCGTTTTCTGGAGGTGAACCCCTCATCTTTCTTTCAAAGTCTATGTTTCTCTTTCATTCTCTGTATCAGTAAATGGTGCCATCTACCCCGCTATCCAAGCTAGAAATTCAAGTGTCACCTCTGGCTCATAAAATTGAGAATAAGCAAGTGGTAGCACCTAGTGAATCGGGAAACTGGCGACCTCATGTGTGACATATTAGCATTATGTGCCATTAGGTTTGCGATGGCTACGATCTTTCAAAAGTAGACGACAAAGTTTCAAGGCTTTTCTGCCAGTGGGTTCAACTGGCAATATTTTGGTTAGCAGCCGTACACTTAGCATGTATACCACCCAGCGAGGTTACACTAAAAGTTTAATTATATCTGACACTATTCTGAGATACATGATTAACATTTGGGACTTGAAACAGGGAAGTGACAAACAAAAAGGCATTTTAGACATAACACCTGGTAGCAGCAAGGTGAATTAACCTGAAAGGAGCAAGAATGGAGGCCGGTTATAAGCTTCGAGATAAATGATGGCCTACACCAAAGCAGAAGTGCACAGAAATAGGGTCCTACACATATCAAAAGGAAAGAGAAAATCAAAGAACGTAGTAATAGACTGGAGATGAGAGATGGGAAGAGAGAAACCAGGAGTGATGCCAGATTTGTCACTTTCAGCTCTTAGATCTACCTCTTGGATCTACTTCTGAAGCCCATTTGCTTCACTGCCACCCTAGTCCAAGCTACTATCATTTCACTTAAACTATCACAACAGACTTTAAATTGTGCACCTGCATATCTGGTGGTTTTTCCCCAACCCAAATTGGACAATGTAACTAACTGCTCTTCCCAATGCCACTATCGCTTCTCCATACATATAGACTCCCAAATTGGTGTGTAAAATCCACATTTCATTAAAATTAACAAGTAATATGACTCAGGAAATTTTGATATGCAGCAAGGTTAGGAAATAATCTAATACCCAATAACTAATGCAATGCCTTAGATATTGTAGATATGCAGGAGACATACAAAGTGTGCACTGACTCGGATAAAAATGAACTTTGTAAAGACAGTGCAATTCAGTTCCAGACTTGAAGGGTGACTAAGGGCTACAGTCTTGGGGGCTCCCCCAGTCTCTATCTAACCAGTAAGCTTGGACTCTTTTATGATTTTGAGTTACACATTTTTCTCCCACTCTACCTAAGCCCATCTAATACATTCCTTTTCAAAGGAGTTGGTAGTAATAGCCTAGCACACTAACACTGAAATAAAACTATTCATCCTTAAGCAATAAACATCCACAAGCTTTTAGTAAAATAAAAAGGGTTAGATAAAAATTAACAGATGCTTCTACTTCCATAAAGAGTTACAGTCTCAGAAACGCACAGGGGCAGTTCTCCCGTCCTACAGGGTCACTAGGAGTTGAAATTGACTCTATGGCAGTGAGGTTTTTGTGTGTTTTTTCCACCTACCTACTTGCTGACCTCTATGTTATATAATCTTTTATATAATCCTTTTTTTATATTGGCCATATTAGGTGTTACCATTATATGGGGTAGCCACCATATATGGCCAGTATACAATTAGGCAATATTTCAGCATCAGTGTAGAGAAATAAATATAGCACATTATAGACATAAAATAAAAATAGAACTTTACTGGATAAATAAATATTATTGAGAAAAAATGCAAATGATTTAAGGCCAGCCTGGTTTTCTTTTCTCAGAAAGTATCTAGGGAGAAAAAATAACCATAATATTGTACTTTTAACTTTGGGGGACTAAAAGCTGGAACACCTTAGGGTGAGAAGAAGCAGATGACTAATCCCATGAGCTTTGGTTCAAATTTCTTGCTTTCAAAATTGCCAAGTAATGACAACCTAAGAATACTATATATTTCCTATTTTCATTCTTTGGGCGATATGCCTTAGTTTTTCAGGCATAGTTTTGTCTTTGTGAATGGGTGTTATCAAAATTTTGCCTCATGTCTAACACTCATTGTTTTCTTAAGCAGTGTTCAGTCACTTAAGGTTTTAATCTGTATAAATGAACATACCAAGTATCTTAGTCTAATAGGCTCTCCTGTGTATGTATATTTTCCCTTTATCACTAGTATTTAAGTTCTATACCAATGGCTAGATTAATGATATTATCATTAGAATTACCAAATGTCCCCTACATTATTTCTCAAGAACATGATAATGCTGCCTCTAAAGTAGACCAGGGATGTACTATACATAAACCTTAGATATGTGAATGGATATTTAGCTCCTACTCAATCACAAGTCCTAATCTAAGAATAACTGGTTTTCATGATGGGGCCCGACTCAATACTAGTCTTCATGAAGTGATCACTAAAGATGTGGGTGCTATAGCAAAGTAGGATGATGAAATCAGATGGTGCCTAGTTCTCAGAAAGAACAGTGTCTGGGGTCTTAGAGACCATCGGGGACTGAGCATGATAGTGGGACGGGAGGAAAGTCAAGGGAAATAGAGGAAAGA